TAACCTCACAGGGTGATCTGATCATAAATTCCTAAATGGGTAGGTCATAGAAGGCAATCACGTCTCAGGCGTAATAAGTTCTTTAGTAAAAGGCTTATCTTTGCCTTAAACAGCCCTATCCATTGTTTCTGTGCATCTAGGTTAACACACTTTTGAAATGCCCCCTTTCAGACCCCTCCTTCTGAAGTGTGAGAGCACATAATCTTAACTATTATAGTTTGTAATCCAATCCTGGAATCTTCCTTAATTTCAAATGCATAAAAGAAACTGCAAAACTGTTATTCTCGGGAGCATTTGAGATCTTGCTCTGTGGCATATGTTGTCAGTTTGGCTCAAATTCTCATAAAAATTAAAAAAAAATTTGCTTTGGATAAAGAAAACCTGGTAGTTTAATGTGTCTCTGGGACCCCTGAGTGTGGACAGGTTTTCGCCCTAGCAGGTCAGGGGCCCCAGGAGAGCCCACCAAATTTGAGCCCCACAGACTTACTCACACTGGACCTGGGGCAGGGGATGGCCAGACATTGGGTTTCACCCTCCTGCCCCCCACCACCACTGCCACCAGCTTTATTATTTTACCTTTAACATTTAGATCCATGTCATTGGGGGATATGAATTCATTTTTCAAGATTCTTCCTTTTTTCATGTGGATATCTAATTGCTTCAGCTATATTTATGGAGAAGGTCTTCTGTTCCTACCATATTACAGTGTCACCTTTGTCATAAATTAAGTGACCTTATATGACTGGGTCTATTTCTGGATTCTCTCTTCTGTTCCATTGGCCTAGTCATCAATCTTTGTGCCAATTCCACACTATATTAATTATTGTAGCTTTATAATAAACCTTGATATATAGTAGTGTAATCCTCCAGCTTTGTTCTTCAAGATTGTCTTGGCTATTCCTGGTTCTTTATGTTTCTCTGTACATTTTAGAATCAATTTGTCAATTTCCACCAAAAGAAATATGCTAGGATTTTGACTGGGATTGAAATAAATTTGTAGGTTAATTGGAAAGAATTCACATCTTTACAACATTGACTCTTCCAGCTTAGGAACATTCTTTAATACCTTTAATTATTTTATACTTCTCATGGTAGAAAACTTACACATCTTTGATTAGATTTATTCCTAAGTATTTGACATTTTAAATGTAAAATGGTATCTTAGGGTGTCCCCCCCCCCAATAACACTTCTGACATCAAATGAGAGGTTTTTTTTCCCCTTCTGAGACCATTTCTCCACCTCGGACACCCACTGGGCATTCAATAATGCAATTCAATTCTGACACTGACTGCCTGGAGTTAGCACAGACCCCACAAGCCCAGTTCCACAAGCCACCCCCACTTCAGACCCCAATTGCAAGTCCTGGGCCACCTGTATTTCTGACCAACTGGCTATAAATCAAGGGTTCCTATGACCCCCCTCCTCAGGTTCGATAATTGGTTAGAATGGCTCATGGAACTCAGGCAAGCACTTTACTTATTATTACCGGCTCATTGTAAAAGATGGAACTCAGGAACAGCCAGGTGGAAGAGACGCACAGGGCAAGGCATATGGTCAGGAGCATGGAGCTTCCGTGTCCTCTCCAGACTCCTCACCCTCCCAGCACCTTGGTGTGTTCACCAACTCAGAATCTCCCTGAATACTGTCATTTAGGGGTTTTATGGAGGCTTCGTTAAATAGACATGACTAAATCATTGGCCTTTGGCAATTAATTCAATCTCCAGCCGTTCTCCCCTTCCCAGAGGTGGGGGCAGGGGGGCCTGAAAGTTCCACCATTCATGTCACTCTGGGGATCTCAAGGGTGTTAGGAGCAGTGTGCCAGGAGTAGCAGACAAAGACCAAACTTCTGTTTCCCATTGTACCCCATAATCTTTTTTAAAATTTCACTTTGCATTTGTTGCTGGTATGTAGAAATAAAATTGATTTTTTTATATTGACCTTGAATTAGAGACCTTCTAAATTCACTTATATAATCCCAATAGTTTATATGTAGATTTTTCTGGATTTTCTATGTATGCAATGATATTGTCCAGTGAGTGTTGGCTTCGCCACATTTTGGAGGTGTCCTGGCAGCCTGACTGGCTCTGACTTCTAAATCTCTGCTTGTCCCGCCCTCAAGCCCTAGCTCACTTACTGCTTCAGCCAGCTCCCGCCCTCACCCCCACAGCCCAGAACCCATGATTCTGCGGCATCCGTCCCTCTTCCTCCTCAGGTCTTCCCTGCTGCCTCTGGAAAGAACTGGTTCTGGAATGGCTGTTGGGGCAGGCTCAGGAAGACAATCCTAGAGTCACTTGGACAATTTGCTAACGATGCTGTCTCCACGCATTCTTGCAGCAAAAGCTGGGCCCTCGGGCAGGGCAGGGGAATTGGGGAAAGGGATGTTCTGGGAGGAAGACATATTAGCTACCTCTTCTTTAACTTTAGGGTATGCCCCTGTGCCTCGAGAGGAGTTCACAGAACAGGGGAGCAGGGTGAGACTATCAGCTAAGCCCTGGATAAAGGGTCTGTCTCAGAGGCTGTGAAAACAGACTGTGGGATGAACACTCTTCTGTAGCCAGAGGCTGAAGGAGGAGGTCAAGTGTTACCATCAAGAGTTGACATAGGGCCGGCCGAGTGGCGCGATGGTTAAGAACTGGCTTGGGACGCCAGAGGGCCCCGGTTCGGATCCCACATATGAGGGCCAGTGACACTGCCCTCCACAGCTAAGATGCTGAGCAGCAGCTCGACCTGGAGCTGGGCTGCCGTGAGTCACCGGCAATGGCGTAGGCTGCAGCCCCTCCTGCAGTGGGTTGCCATGGGCTACCGTGTGTAGCTAGCAGCCAGTGTGGGCAACCAGCAGCCGCAGTGAGCGGCTGTCCAGAAGCCAGCGACTGATCAGCCTCGCCCGGGAAGAGCGCAATGATGGTGCCAACTTGGGCCAGTGAAGCAACGTCCTCCATAACTAGACTGAAGAACAAAAACGACAGCAACTTGTCTGTTTCCCTTCCCCCAATTCCCCAGCACTGTTCCCATCCCCCCAATTCCCCAATAAAAATCTTTAAAAAAAAAGAGTTGACATAGTGGAGAGGTGGCAAGGGCCTGAGGTCCCAGAAGTCAGGCCTGGCCCCTTGACAGGTGAATCTGAGAGGTTGGAGTTCGGCATCACTCCTAGGCTAGTATCTGCTCACATTGCCACATCTATAGAATCCTGATCTTAGAGACTGGGATATAGTGAGGTAACACAGCAAGAGAAACAGCCCCCATTTAATGGGAATCTGCTCACGTGATACTCCCCAAACCCTGTGAGATAATTTTATTAACCCCATCTTATAGATAATGAACACCGAGGATCAAATCATTTGGGTAACTTGCTCAAAGTCTCCCCAAATTAGTGGGAGACTCCCTACAATTCACCTGTAACTCAAGCAGGTGTATGTCATTCCAAAGTGCTTGGTCCTTGTGGGTCCTATGAACGGGGCTTTGCCCAGAGTGGGTGTTTGGTGGACTCCTGAATCTCAAGGTCCTGAAAAGTGGCTGACAATTCAAGAGGTGTGACATGGAATCAGGCTGATTCATGCTTGGTTAATTCTAGTGGGCAAGCTGGTTGTTGGAGCCTGCTGCCTTTCTGAGTGGGTACCAGCTGCCTTCCAGATCTGTGACCTACTCTAGAACCTGCTAAAGTGACCAGGAAATGCTGTTTCCAGAACAGGAGTCAAAAGAGAATGCCCCCAGCATCCAAAGATACCTCAGATCTGTGGATAGGTGAATGACCCAAGTATTCAAGAAACAAACATGTTTATTTTTTGAAATTTGTTTCTTGAAACCTGGAAGTGACCTTTCCAGGTGACATACTAGTAAGAACCCATTGAATGTATTTTACTACAGTAAAGAAAATGGGGGGGGGAACCCCATTGAGCTGTTTTGTGCCACTTCAGACACAAAAGCATTCAAGTGGGCACCCATGACCTTGACTTCCATCACATGTGGTCCCAGCCAGGTACTCCTTGAAGGCCAGACTAGAGCAACATTTGGGAATAGTCACTTTACCTCCTGGGTTTCCAGTCTCCCTCTCTCAAATCCACACGCCACATCACTCTGAGACGTTGAAGGAGCTCACCAGAGCCTTGGACAAACCCCAAATCAGCAAGGTGAGGGACGGAGGTTTGACTGCAAGTGACGTTTTGTACAGGCAGAGTTCTGAAACCTGAGAGAAAGGAGCCTAAGAGGAGGTAGGCCCTCTATTCCCTGGAGAGCTGTACCCCTGAGATAGCTGCCCCTCAGGGCTTTCCAAAATTAGGGCTAAGCAACTGGTGACCATGAGGGCTCTTTTGCGTTTCCTAGTCCCATGATAAATGGCCCCAACTGGGCAACATATCTGTGACTTGGCGGGTTGGCTTTTTATGAATGTTTTATGTCACATTAACAGGTTTTCTGTTGTTGAACCATCCTGGGACAAACCCGAGTTGATTGTGATAAAACAAAAAACTTTAACATACTACTGGATTCAACTTGCTAGTTTTATTTAAGATTTTCATTTATGTTTCTAAGTGAGATTGGCTCAAATTTCCCTTTTCTTATCTGGTTGAAGAATCAAGGTCATACTCGCTTCATAAAATGTGTTTGCTGGCTTTCCTCCCTCTTTCCCCTGTATTTAATTCTTTGACAGCGGGATGATATTTGTAATAGGCTTTGGATCTTACAAGCACACACCCCCAGAGTCTGCCTGCTCAGCAAGGGACTTGGCACTGACAAGAAGACAGACAGACACCTCTTCCTTGTGTATAGTCTGTGTTGGCTTATATACGGTGCTTTTGTTGTTTCTGAGACCGCTCTGCTGGGAGCTAGCCATTTCCCTGAGGCAGGAGGGATAGGGGAGGGGAAGCCCTGGGCCCAGATGGGAGCTGTGCTGGGGGGAGGGAGTCCAGAGCCTGGTGCCTCAGCTGCCACCACAGCCACCTGTGCTGCCTGGGTCAGGCTCCTGTGAAGCCCCCTGGAGCTCAGCCTGACCCTCCCCACGCAGACACCATGTTCCGCAAGAAAAAGAAGAAACGTCCTGAGATCTCGGCCCCACAGAACTTCCAGCACCGCGTCCACACCTCCTTTGACCCCAAAGAAGGCAAGTTCGTGGGCCTTCCCCCACAATGGCAGAACATCCTGGACACACTTCGGCGGCCCAAACCGGTGGTGGACCCTTCACGCATCACGCGGGTGCAGCTCCAGCCCATGAAGGTAAGATGGGTGGCAGGAATGACGGGGCCAAGTTCAGCCTCTTTCGCTCCGTAGATGTAGATGCCCGTGTTTGGCCAAACCACAAAGGCACCTGGAGGAACCACCTAATTACCAGCTGTCAATTAGCCACTGTTTTCATTCCCTGCTAATCAGCCTCTCATTCTCTCCCTGGGTGACCCGCAGAGGAGGAGCCTGGGGGGGTCCCTCTCTGCAGGGTGGTAGGGTTGCCAGATTTAGCAAATAAAAATACAGAATGCCCAATAATATTTGCATTTCAGATAGCAACAAATTATCTTTTAGTGTTAAGTGTGTCCATGCAACATTTGGACCTGCAGCCCCTCTGGGGCAGGGGTATTGAGTTGTGTGTGTCAAGAAGGATAGATCCAAGAGGCTGGCAGCGGTGGGGGTCAGGGCCCTGTCAGGATTTGGAGGCCACAAAGCCAGTGTGTGTGGAGGAGAGCCCTGGACTGGTTCCTGCCTCCTCCGAGAGCTCTGCATGTCCCAGACGGCTACAGACAGAGCCGGAGAATGGCAGCGGGCCCCAGGTGGGGTCTGGAGGCCCCCAGTACTCCCTCATCTCCCCAAGCCTAGCTGCCTACACCATGTGGCATGCTGGACTGTAAACTCATGGTTACTCACCTGTGTGCCCTGCTGGGCTGCAAGCCCCATAAAAATGGGCCTTCTCCCTGAATTCCTGCACCAGCACGGGCCTGACCTTCCATGGGCCCTGGTAAATGACTAAAAAATTACGGAATGGATGGATGACACAGCAGGCCATGTCTTTAGATGTTCCTCCCCAAGGCCCCCAGGGAGACTGATCTGGTCCCAGGCCGTCCTTCCCTCCCACAAACAGGCCACTCAGCCGTGCTCTTCTCCCCTCCCCTGCAGACAGTGGTGCGTGGCAGCTCCGTGCCCATGGACGGCTACATCTCTGGGCTGCTCAACGACATCCAGAAGTTGTCAGTCATCAGCTCCAACACCCTGCGTGGCCGCAGCCCCGCCAGCCGCCGGCGGGCACAGTCCCTGGGGCTGCTGGGGGAGGAACACTGGGCCACCAACTCCGACATGTACCTGCAGAGCCCCCAGTCTGAGTGCACCGACCCCCATGGCCTCTACCTCAGCTGCGACGGGGGCGCAGCAGCAGGCCGCAGACAGCAGGAGCCACAGAGCCCACGGGTCCTGCCCAATGGGCTGGCCACCAAGGCGCAGTCCCTGGGCCCCGCCGAGTTCCAGGGTGCCACGCAGCACTGCCTGCAACTGGGGGCCTGCCTGCAGAGCTCCCCACCCATCCCTGCAAACACAGGGAAGCGTGGGACCAAGGCTGCCAGGCATGGCGCCGAGGAGGCCCGGCCACAGTCTTGCCTGGTGGGCTCAGCTGCGGGCAGGCCCGGTGTGGAGGGCAGCCCTAGCCCTAAGACCCAGGAGAGCAGCCTTAAGCGCAGGCTATTCCGAAGCATGTTCCTGTCAACTCCTGCTACGGCCCCTCCAAGCAGCAGCAAGCTAGGCCCTCCGCCACAAAGCAAGGTAGGTTGGGGAGTCAGGGGTGGGGGCTGCCCTCTGGGGCCACTCTCAGCAGGGCTGGGAGCTGGTCTGGCCGGTGTACACCAAGGAGTGCATGTCAGGGACACAGGCCCTGCCTGGCCTTCCCCACTTACAGGGTCGGGTTGGGGACTGCGTGAAGGAACAAAATAATCAAGAAGCCAGCTCAGCCTCATCTGAGGATTCTATCTTGAATCAACTGAGCCCTTGTCCTCCAAAGGCTTAGATTAGCATGTGTGTGTCAGAAGTTGCAATCAGGTCATCTTCTGGGGGTGCTGCAGAGGGGCTTATTGTACACCCTCCTGACATTCCTGCCCTCTGGGGTGTGTCTAGGTGGACCACAGTGGTCAGCACCCCCTGAAAAAGCAGCAACTTTAATCTCAAGCCCAGACCTTCCCCTGTCCCTGGTGCCCACCCAGGCTCCAACAGAGACAGGTGCTCCAGCACTGGACAGGGCAGGGGCTCTGCCTGCCTCCCTCTCCTCAGACCTTCTCTCTGCCTCCACCCCTTGCTTGCCTCCGTGCTCCCCTGAACTTGTGCAGAGGCTCCGCGCACGGCTTCTCCCTGAGGCATTCAGCAATGTTCCCTCCTCTAGTGAGGATGCCTGCCTGCCTGTCTTCCCTTTTTTTAGTGGTGGTGGCTTTGTTTAACATTTCTGGAATGATTTATTCTCGAGTTTGTGTGCCGTATGAAAATCTAAAGGATTGAATTTGCCTGGGTCCAGGATCCACAGGAGAGCTGACGTTGGGCCTGTGGTGACAGTCTCAAGTGCACATATTTTTCTTATAAAAAAGGAAACAGTGAAAGGAGTCCTAATTGTGACGTTTCTTGGCAGGCAGAGGAGAACAATTTTGCTTCTTACATGCCCCGTGACATCCTGTCCGTGGTGACAATAATGTTCTTTCCCATTTGGCAAATGAAAAGACTGATTCAGAGAGGGTGAGACAGCCTCTAGGTGTTTCAAATGAGTCAGGGAAGGAAGGCATGAGAGGGCCTCTCGGCTCTCACCTCTTACTCAGGAAGGCATTGCTATCTTGGCAGCCACTTTTCTCTAGCTCCTTCCTGAGGGTCAGGCAGAAATGAGCTTAGGCAGCAGCATGAGGGTTGTAAGTCAGACCCAAGAAACAACAGTTGAGAGTGATGGAGCCCCCCTTCCCTGGAGGGGGACAAGCCTGGGCCCTCCCCTGACAGTGATGGAGTGAGTCTGGTCCAGCCTGAACATGGTAGGGAGTTCGGGGAGTGACCTGGACCCTCAACATTTCTAAGTCACTGCTAGCCTGAGGCATCCAGGGAAGGCTGGCTCTGGACACTCGCAGTAGCTCCCACAGCAGCAGCCGTGCACTGGTGCCCTGGGAGGTCAGGCCGCCAGTGGCCATGATGTGCCAGACGTGGCTGCGGGAGGGTCTGTGGCCCTAGGGCTCTTGTACTCAGCCCCGGCAGTTGGTCTGTGGTCACTCACTTTGGCTAAAAAGCAAAAGAAGACCTCGAGTCGGGGCAGGGAGGCCAAAGACAGTTACAAGTTTGGGGAATTTAGAAGTGGTTCCACTTGGAGGCAGAAAGGCCAAGTCAGAAGACCTCAATAATCAGCACACATTGGTTAAGTCCTTACTGTGTACCATGTACTCCATCATATGACAAGGATACTCAACACCAATAGGACTAGGGGTCAGGGGTCAGACTGACCGGGGCTTAAGTCTGGTCTTCCTCTTTACTACTTAGTGACTCTGGGAGTTGCTTAACCTCTCTGAGCCTGTTTCCTCGTCTACAAATGTGATAATAATAGTGCCCATGGGAATAATAAAATAACCCACAGGTTTATGAGAGTTAAATGAGATAATGCATTTAAGGCCCTTGTCAAAGTGGTAAGCCCTCAATAAATGACTTTATTATTTTTTTAATATTATGACACGGCCTCTGCCTTTGGGGCACTTAGGGTACAGCGCCCCAAGGCTACAGCTGGAGAGCCCAGCCCTATCACCATGGCTCAGGAAGGGAAAATGAGGCATCATTGTAACTCCACGCATGACTCTTCTAGTGGCTTCCTGTCGAAGAAGAGGTCTCAGTCGCACAAGTAACTCCAGAATTAATCCAGAGCCCATAACAATTCAATAATTCCATCTTTTGTTCCCCCCTTTCCCTTTCTTGGGGTGGTTTAGCAAGTTTCATCTGGTCCTTTCCTGTGGCTACATTAAGTAAAAGTTCCCTCCTTGGGGGGTGACCGGTTAGCTCAGTTGGTTAGAACGTGGTGCTGATAACACCAAGGTTGCCGGTTCGATCCCCGCATGGGCCACTGTGAGCTGTGCCCTCCCTGAAAGAGTCAACTATGCCATTGTAGCATGAAAGCAATATGTAACCAATGACTATGGCCGTTCACCAATAAAATTTAGGAAAAAAAAAAAAGTTCCCTCCTTGTGGAGATAAGCAGCAGAGCCAATGAAGGGACACTTGGGACCCAGACCAAACCTGGCCCCACCACTCCTATGTCCCACGTCCCAGGCCATGTCAGTACTGAGCTCTCAGCTCTCTGCCTGCAGGCGTACCCACGCACATGCGTGAGCCTAGACAAGGCCAGAAACTGTGTGTGTGTGTGTGTGGGGAACCCTGAATCCTGGGGGTGAGATGTGCTAAAGAGGTGGGAAGAGCTCTTGCTGAGTCAGGTGGGCCCAAGGCCCAGACTTGGGGTCCCTGAGCAAGCAGCCCAGCCCAAGCTGACTCCTTGAGATTTCCTTGATGAGGCTCTGGGAATCAGGACCAGGGGCCACTGGGCCTCTAGATAACTACTTGGTGATGAAGTTCTGAGAAGGCATCTCTGCAGCCCCTAAAGTGTCCCCTCTTAGATTATGTAGGGCCCTCTCCAGGTGTACACCCTCCTGACATTAAAAACACATTTCCTGGCAAGGCTGGCAGGAGGGCTTGGGCCTGAAAAGACAAGGAGTCTCAAAGGCTTCCAGGGCCGGCCCTGCGCAGGGCTCACTGGGGCCCAGTCTGCCACTTAGCTCCATGTCATCAGGTTAGGTCCTGCCTTCCCTTCCGTGTGGGGTGTCATCAGTCAGGAGTTTTATGCTTGGGAACAAGTGGAGGGGCCCCTCTGGGGAGCCCTTAGAAAACCTCTCTGGGATCCCTGACCCCAAGGCTTGGGTTTGGCTGGACCCACCCTCCTGATCCCAGATCTCTCCAGCACCCGATCCCCAGCTCAAGGGGAATCTGAGAACCCCCAGATGGAAACATGGCTCTGTGGTCCTCTGTGGGGGACACAACAGGGCTTCTTCTACCCGTGTGGGCCCTTGGATGGGGAAGCCATGGGAATGACTACCTCTGACCTAGATTCCCCATGCAGCGGAGGGCGGGCTGCTCCCAGTGGCCTCCCTGGGGTCTGGCTGTCAATTACCCACGAAGAAATACCCAGCACAAGGACACCCCGGGGACTCTGCTTTCTCTGTCTTCCCAGGAGCAGGCAGAGTGGATGCAAAGAGCTCTTGTTTGGTCTGCTCTCCTGGGAACAGTGAAGGCTGGTTTCCCAAGCAGGGCTATGGTTTGGCTTCAGTTCCATTAGAAAATCTTTGCTTATGGCCTCCTCAGTTTGGTCTGATGCCCTGACCCTGCCCATGTCCAGAGGTCACAGCTGTCAGCCCCTGCCTCTGGGAAGGTTGCTCCAAACACTGCCACTGCCAAACTGCCAAACCCCTTTCTGTTTCTTTCTCCCTGCAGCCCAACTCCTCGTTCCGACCGCAGCAAAGAGCCTCCCCCGCAAGCCTGGTGGCCAAGGCCCAGTCCTTGCCCTCAGACCAGCCCACGGGGACCTTCAGCCCTCTGACCACCTCAGATACCAGCAGCCCTCAGAAGCCCCTCCGCATAGCCCCGGCCTCCGGCCCTCCTCCAGGCCGGTCTTCACCAGCGGGTTCCCCCCGCACCCGGCATGCCCAGATCAGCACCAGCAACCTGTACCTGCCCCAGGACCCTGCAGTGGCCAAGGGTGCCCTAGCTGGCGAGGACACAGGCGTCGTGACACATGAGCAGTTCAAGGCTGCACTCAGGATGGTGGTGGACCAGGGTGACCCCCGGCTGCTGCTGGACAGCTACGTGAAGATTGGCGAGGGCTCCACAGGCATTGTCTGCCTGGCACGGGAGAAGCACTCAGGCCGCCAGGTGGCTGTCAAGATGATGGACCTCAGGAAGCAGCAGCGCAGGGAGTTGCTCTTTAATGAGGTGGGAGGAGAGGGCAGACGGGGGAGGGCATTTGGGATGGGCCGTGGGCACAGAGCCAGGCTGGACAGGTGTGAGCAGGGGCAGTGGGGACTGCCCAGCGCTCAGGCATCCCTGCCTGCCCCCAGGTGGTGATAATGCGGGACTACCAGCACCTCAACGTGGTGGAGATGTACAAGAGCTACCTGGTGGGCGAGGAGCTGTGGGTGCTTATGGAGTTCCTGCAGGGAGGGGCCCTCACGGACATCATCTCCCAAGTCAGGTGGGCAGCTGGAAGGCTGGGCCCCTAATGCTGGTGGGAGGGCTGCCCCCACCATTGCCCTGGCTGGGGTATCAAGCAGCCTCAGGCCCAGCAGACTTGGGGGGGCCTATCAGATCATCCTGAGTGCCCCCTGTCTGTTTGGGTTAATAGGCCCAGGGGTCTCAAGGGAGTGGGAGGATGTGGTGATCTCCACCCTAAGCTCAGGCCCATTTCCGCCAGGGCTCTGTCCTGACTGGGCTCCCGCACCACATTGCCCAAGAGCTGTGGAGCCCGGTACCAGGGGCACCTACTCTCCTAGCCCATCTGCAGCCCAGCCAAAGCTAACGTTCTCTTCCACCGGTGACCCTGCCTTCCCTGCCCAGGCTGAACGAGGAGCAGATCGCCACTGTGTGTGAGGCCGTGCTGCAGGCCCTGGCTTACCTGCATGCCCAAGGTGTCATCCACCGGGACATCAAGAGTGACTCTATCCTGCTGACCCTCGATGGCAGGGTAGGGCCCTCCCCACCCTGGCACACCTGTGCCCCCACTCCCCTGTTCCCAGCATGGCTCCTCCTCCTAGTTCACCACTCACTCCCCTTTTCCCCCCTCTCATCCCAACCCCAGGTGAAACTCTCAGACTTCGGATTCTGTGCTCAGATCAGCAAAGACGTCCCTAAGAGGAAGTCCCTGGTGGGAACTCCCTACTGGATGGCTCCTGAAGTGATCTCCAGATCTCTGTATGCGACCGAGGTGACCTTTCCCTCCATCCCCCAGTCCTCCCAGAAGAGGCTTGGGGACACAGGACTCTTCCACTTTTGCCCCCTCCAGAGGCCCCCTCCAACCAAAAATAGCCCTGGTTCTCAGGTCCCCACTTTGTTAACACCCTACCCAACAGCCCACTGTCCCCTTTTGGATGGGCCTACTCTTGTCTGTGACTTTGCTGCAACAAACCGGTCCCAAAAATGCTCCCCACCCCCACCAACTCAAGAACAGGGTGGGGTATGGCCAGGCTTCTCCGTATGTGATGGCCTATCTCAGAGAGTGGCTGACAGCTGTGTCCCTAGTCAATGGTAGCTTATGCAGGAAGTAACTGATCACAAGGTAGGTGGCCAGGAAGGAAGTCAGCTCACCAAGGACAACTGGGACCAGCTGCTCCCCTCCCTTTGCAGCATGCTGGTTACCAAGGGGCCAGACTGGCCAGTGGAGTCAGGGACATTCTCCTTCTACAGGTGGATATCTGGTCTCTGGGTATCATGGTGATAGAGATGGTGGACGGGGAGCCACCTTACTTCAGCGACTCCCCAGTGCAAGCCATGAAGAGGCTCCGGGACAGCCCCCCACCCAAGCTGAAAAACGCTCACAAGGTCAGTCGGTACACACGGTGTGACTCCACAGACCCCATTCTTCCTGAGGCTTGGAGGACCGAGCCTGGCCTCCCAGGCCCAACCTCTCCCTTCCACAGAAGCCACAGGGCCTAGGCTCCCGGAAAAGGCTCCTCTTTCTCCACACAAAAACTGCACCTGGGTGTGGAGCCACATCAAATGTACAAACACCCACGGTCACTCTGACAGGTTTCCACCTGCAAGCAATTGACAGGAGCCCAAGAGGCAGGAAAGCAAGATTGTCAGGAATCCCTGATGTCCTCGGGAGGCATCTAGAGAAGTTAACTGAGCAGGAACCCCTCCACCCCATCTGTCAGAGGAACCATACCATGGCCCGGTGTTCCCAGTCTATCGCAGTGAATCGGCTTGTCCTCCATCAGTGCACATCCTGACCACATCTGAGCCACAGCTTTTTCCTTAAAACGTGTGTGTGTGTGTGTGTGTGTGTGTGTGTGTGTGTGTGTGTGTGTGTAACCCTTTTCTGACAAATCCACCCCCAAACCAGCAGGCCTTACCTATGGATATCCCCTACGGGTGACCAGGTCAGCACAGGGCTGCAAAACGGCACTGCCATCTGGTGGCCATAGTGAGAAATGTCCCAGAGGTTTGAAGCCGTCCCTAAACGGCAAATAGTTCTGTGCCCAACACAGCTGGATGGGAGGACAGACAGGAAACACCTTCTGAGACAACTGGTGCTTGGAGACCACTGTTGACCCCAAGATTAGCATATGGGGGAGATTTCCAACTGACTAATTCCCCAGAGGATGTAGCCTTCTCTAAGAGCCCAAGAGTCAGCCTCATCCCAAGATATTGGTTCAAAATGAACCAAGATAAGCCCTTAACTTAGACTCTGAGGCTTAGGTCAATAAAGAAATCTTCCTTTTCAGGTCCCACCTTGTTCTTTTCTATTTTTAAAAACACTTCTTCATCCCTGATCTCTTTTTTATCTTCATTAAAGCCCTATGTGGCAGGCAGGGCAGGCACATTTTATCATTAGCCCATTTTGCAGATGAGAAAACTGAGGTCTAGAGAAAATTGCAGCTTTCCCGAAATCAAGGATAGACCCAGGACTGGATCAGTGATCCCTTTCCACAGAGCCACAGAGCCTGAACGCTGAGAGCTCAGAGAAGCAGAGCAGAATGGGCTGTATTTGGAGCCCAGCTCCCCAGTGCTCTGGGCATCCTAATTCTATTGCTCAGGAGCACCCCTACTTTTCCTGGACTAATGCTGACTTTCTTTACCTACCTGATAATCCAAAATGTGCTGAGCCTGGGAGGAACCAGGAAGTAAGAAATGAGAGAATTTGAGACTTTCAAATGATGGTGGGGCCAGGCAGATGGATCACCCCACAGCGACTGCAAACTGTGGCTGCTTCTCACTGCCCTGTCTCCACAGGTGTCCCCAGTGCTGCGAGACTTCCTGGAAAGGATGCTGGTGCGGGACCCCCAGGAGAGAGCCACAGCCCAAGAGCTCCTGGACCATCCCTTCCTGCTGCAGACGGGGCTACCAGAATGCCTGGTGCCCCTGATCCATCTCTACCGCAAGCAGACCTCTACTTGCTGAATCCACCCCCAGGGTGCACCTGCCACCTGTGCCCACAGGCAGGGGACACTGGGCAACTAGCTTGCCGACAGGGCCTGCCTGCCTCATTTTCTCAGTATTCTCTCCAAAGATTGAATGTGAAGCCCCACGCCCACCCACCCTCCTGCCCCTCAGCCCACTGGGCCAGGCCGGACCTGCCCCTCAGTCTCTCTCCCCTCCAAGAGAGTCCCCAGTTGCCTTTGGGATGATGGAGACCCCTTCTTCAGGATGACCCTTTGTTATTTGCACAGGGATATTTCTAAGAAACACCGAGACCAGCACTTCTGGCCGCTGCAGCCAACATAGCAGAAAAGGCTGCTGCGGTTTTTTTTAAAGGCAGTTGCACACTAGCATCCCAGGCCACCCAAGAGGGCGGAGTGCCAGTTTTCACCAGGATACTTGCTGTTCTCAGCTTCAATTCCAAACCCTGGGGCCTCGAGAGGGCCACAGGGAAGGTTTTCATTGCCTGAATCTGTCTTCTTCCCTTGTGTCTGACTTCTTGGAGACACAGTCCCACCTGCACCTGCTTCCACACCCACCTGCACTGACAACACACAACACTCTTATGCACAGCCTGCTGTGAACTGTGAACAGCCAGCTCATAGGCCACGGGAGGCCACAGGAAGGGGAGGGGCATTTTCTGGGTAAAAGAGAAACAATGGAGGTGGTAAAAGTGGTGTTACTTTACAGGATGCGTATGCTCACTCGTGCCTGTGTGTGTGTGTGTGTGTGTGTGTGTGTGTGTAAGCAGAGGAAGGTCACCCCAACAGCCTGGCCCCATCAGTAAGGCTTGCCCATTCTCTCTTCCACTAAGTTCTGCACTGAAGGGACCTGGTTTCTTGGTTTGGCTTCCCACCTCTTAAGTCCCGTGTCTCTACCTGACCAGTGAAGAGGTCTGTCTTGAGTCTAACTCATCCTGCAGTCTGGGCAGGTTTCTGAGTGTCTCCTGTACTATGGAGTCTGAAAGCCCAAGACCAGAAGAATGAGGAAACAAACTTTGTTTTACTTGTGAGCTCCATCTCAATAACCAGGTCATCAGGGACCCTCTTCAAAATCCTGGTCTGGGGAGATGGGCCAGCTCCCAGGGTTCCATGTTGTCAAGAGAATGGGCACCCCCATTTGTGCAAACCATCTGCCCCTAGCTGCCTCCTCAGATAACTTGTCTCCTTGTCCTCTTTCCCTCCCCACCTTTAGGGCTGTTGTGAGACAGGGAAGCCCAGGGAAGAACTCCAGGTGTCTGGATGTTATCTAGATCATATTTTTAGATTTCTCTGCTCCCTAGTGGCCTGCTCTGGGACAAAACAAACAGAAAAACTGCAAGGACTTTTTTTTTAAGGGTCAGAGTTTCAAAAACAAAAGCGTCTTCCCTAGAAACTTTTTTGTGAATTGTTTGCACTTGTGCCTGTTTTAAATTAAACTGAGTGTTCAAAACCTCTGGACTTCCTATTGTCTCTGGGAGTGGAGCCAAGCTGTTTTCGAGCTGGGCACCCTGTAGTGGGTGTCTGGTGTGGTCCCCCCCAACATGAGCTCTCCAGCGGCCGCTCGAGTCCACAGAAAACCCAGCTCCTTGGTGGTGTGTGGGCCCAAAATGAGAGCAGTGAAGGAGGGAAACAGGAAGCGAAAGGCCCTTGGGACCGAAAGGGCTGAGAAATAGACAGGGCTCTGTCCCAGGGGAGAGGAGCCCAACCAGGAAACCCAGAGCTGTGCATGGTGTTTGCCAGCGCCACGGGAGTTCTCGTGGCAGCCACCTGGGCTGACAACCACTTTATGTGGCAGCTTCTCCCTTCCCCTGTTTGCTTCTCACTCCCTGGAAAGTCAAAGGCTACTTGCCTCACGCTGTCTATAGGAAGGGGCCTGGGACTGCTGCTAGTGAGAAAGCAGTCTCTTTCAGTTCTCAGAACTGAGGGAGACTGTGAGGAGTTGTGAAAGAGCAGTGCAGTGGCAGAAAATCAAGAAACCTGGGTTCTAGTCCTGGGGTGGGGGAGGTGAATAAAATCATCTTTAAACTTCTAGCTCTGACACTGATTCCAGTACTTCCTTCCTGAGAGCTCATCCTACCCACCAACCCTGGGCTCACTGAAACCTCATAACGAGGAGCAAGGAATCATGCAGACCTTCTCCCGCTCCCCAAAGCTTTCACACCTAGACAGCTGACCTGGTTTGAGGGCCCCAGTCCCACCAGCTCAGTCAGAAACAGCACCTGAGTCTTACCTTCTGGACGGATGGGCAGAGATAGAGGCTGAAGAAAGGTGGAACCTTCCCAGGAAGTAAGTGCACCCCTCCACCTCTCCAAAGGGAGCCCAGAGTCAGGAGTGGTTGGTAAGGCAAAGAGAGGCTATTTCTTGCAATTGAACAATACTGGATTTATTAACTATTCTTTTGAGTTCTGATAGGCCTTCCTCCACACAGTGTCATTCCAAAAGCATATGCGTACATCATTCAGCCTCACACAGACCAGCGCTGAGTTGGTCTTGGAGTACCGAGCTTCAGAGGCATGGGTGACTCTTCACAACGACGAAAACAACAAGAGTTGGAAAAGCAAAATGCTTAGAAAAGTCTCTTCTACAGTGGCGAGAGCTAGAGATGACCCCAACCCCAACGCCTTGGGGTTGACAATGAGAAGAAGTTCAGGAGAGCGAAATGCGGTGAAATGTATATGTTCTGCACAGAGCTGGGCCTGGTAAGAAATCTGCAAGAACAGCAAGTCAGTCAAACACACAATTCAGTTAAGATAGGAACAATCTGCTGTGGTTTTTTAGAAACATCACTTTCAACCACTGAGTCTTTGGCAGCTCCATGGAGAGGAGCCCTGGTGGTTGTTTACCCAATAAAGAGGGCCCAAGGTGACATTCAACCAGAAAGCCCCATGTCAGCAACACTTGAAAGATGACAGCACCTTCAACACATTGTGCAACCCAGACCTCATGGTGTTCTGAAAAAGCCAAAATACTTGTAGTCTTACACCATTAAAAACTTCATGAAAATTAAACACAGTTGGAGAATAAGTGAGCAAGCAAGAATTAGAAAAAAGTTTGCACTTGAGGTATCCACTCATCCCCCATCCCACCCCAGATCCTCTCCCTCTGGACTTTCGGGCCCTTCTGTATTCACCCACCACCCAGACAGTGGGACTTAGGGGAGGCAGATGTCTGAGGAGGAGTGGGGGAAGGGCAAATACCCCAGCAATGAAAGCAGAACTCATCAGAAGAAAACAGTGCATAATTAGTAGGTCCAAGGTTCAGAAATCATAAGGAAGGGGGTGGAAGCTCTAATTTTTCAGAAGATAGCAGGACCTGTCAGGACACAGAGCCTTAACTTGGAAGATCTTGGGGTCCTTAGTGATGGGTCTGGGCTCCTGCTACTCCAAATGCGACTTTTTTGTTCATTGTCCCTCACTTCACTGCTGTGAAATGACTTCAAGTATCAGGATTTAATATACTACAAAAGTTAGAGTATTCCATTGGTAAATGCACATGGAGGGAGAAGCATAGAGCGGTGATCCCTAATAACAACCGCAAGTCGGAACTCCCAGCCAGGGCTCAGTGAGGAAGAGCGCAGTGCTGCCACCAGGGGGCGCCAGAGATCACGTCCCGCATGGGGGCCCTAACGGCCTCGCCGGCCGGGAGGGGTGGAAGGATTGGGGAGGTGTCTGACACCTACACAAGGCCCGCTCCTGATCACCCATCCCTCACCCCCAGGCCCAACTTCTCAGCGCAGGTCATTCTCTCTCTGGGCAATTCCTGTAGAGTTATTGGTGAGAAACCTTCCGTTCTGCAAAGACGACTAGGTCAGCGTCTTGAAAAGACCCCAACGCAAGTGGGTGGGTGGGGTGCACGTTTAACCTTCAGGGTTCACAGCAAGAGGCCCCACGCTCTGCAACCCTGCGGGCTGGGCGCTCAGATACATGTGCTAGCGCTTCCGAAGGGTCCTAGGGTACGCAATTCACCAGACCGCTAGTTCCCCCACGCTAGGCCGGCACAAAGAAGGGGGCGGGGAGGGAGGGAACGAAGGACCAGGCCGGGAAAGGGCCTTTAACCACCTCTCCGCAGGTGCCTCTGACTCACTAATCTGTCTGGTAATGAAGCTGGGCGGAGCCTGCGTCCCACGCTTAGGGGCAGAGGCAGGGGTCCTTGGTCCCGACCTCGGGCATCCATCATCTGCCCTGCCCTCCGTTAACGGCCCAGCAAGAAGCAAGAGCCATTTAACAGCCCCCTCCCAGCTCTCGCCAGAGTTTGATGTAATTTAAACCCGGACCTGCTGCTCGTGTGGGCTTCCGACTCCCGCGCGCCGCCGTTTAACGTGGCAAACACTTCAGTCAATTATCCCCCTCGCGGAGCTTCTATTTAAAGAGACATTGTCAGGTTCTTAAGCCTCGGATCAGACCTGCTGCTTTCAGCTTCATATACAAAGACTCAAAAGACTTGAGGATTGGAAGAAGTACAATTAAGCAAAGCCTTCGCAACCGTTCCACCCTGCAGGAGCTGGGAGGCGGTGGGGGTGGGGCAGTGCTAACTCCTTTCCATTTCAGTGAGAGGAAGTAAGGCTGGGCCAGGAGGGGTGAGACCTCAAAGATGGTACTCAAATGCAACCGAGCCCGTGGATGGGCTGGGTAGAGGTTGGTGTGGGTCAATGACCCTCACATTGTCAATTAGGTTGAATCCTGGGTGGGCCTGGGGCAGAGGCCGTGGGAGCTGAAGTAACCCAGAAGCTGGTCGGTCGTTCAACACCAAGGGCTCTGCCATGTCCAAAATGTGCTTTCATTGTCTTGAGGCAGGAGTTTCTCCCCAGAAAAACTTAACCTTCAGATTCCTTCCTAATCAGCCCTCCTGTCCAGAAAGGCTCTAAGGCCCGTCTCAGTTCCCTTCTCCAACCCTTAAGGGGAAAGGAGACTTAGGTGATGCGTGGCATTATTGTCAGCATCACTGGGGTAGGCCCTTGTTCTGCAAGTCCACTCTTCTGCCTGCCTGCCAGGGCGTGGAATAACCCGGGAAGGGTAATGGGACCATTAGGAGCCAGCCAGACTCAGGACTGAGCCTTAGGCAGAGGAAAGGAGGTCCATCTTCTTGGCTAGAAGCCCATGGAACCATTTCTTCTACTCCGCCCCCTTCCAGGACAGAAAAGGCAGGCTGTAGGGAAGGTGACTTAGGCAGAAAATACCAAAAATACCAACAAGCACACAAAAGAAATAATCGTGGTCCCTTTCAGAGAGAGGGGCAACTCGCCTTGGCAGCGGGGACAGGTTCTAGGCTCACGGGGGGGCGGGGAAGGAGGAAGGAATGCCGGGGAAGTGAGGGACCTGGAAGAAAGAAATCCCAGCGGAGCAGAGACAGAACGGTGCAGGGAACAGGGCTCATCCTCCACGCTATTTACCGCTGAGCGTGCAGCAACACGGCCTCGGTGCCTGACTGCCAAGGCTCCGGCCCAGGCACCGAGTGGGCCAGAGCGTTGGCCTCTAACTCCGGGCCACTCTCCGGCCCTGGTGCCTCCCCGACTAGGCTGGGGATGTCTGGAGCTGTGGAGCGTCGGCGCAAACCCAAGCGGCCAGAGCCGGGGCCGCCCTCGGGGTGGGGGCTAAGGCCAACGGGGGCTTGCACTAAGGTTGGGGGGACTCCTTCCAGCCCCTCATGCGAACGCCACCGCCCGGTCCCCGAAGACTGGGGCGAGTGTGGTCTGGCCATCAGGGCTCCCGCCCGCAATCGAGCCGCCTCCTCTTCTGTCACTGCACCCAGAGCCAGACTCATGCTCCGGCCCAACTCGGGCCGCTCGCTGCCCTGAGCCCGGTGCCGGCCAGAGCTCTTGCTCCCTGAGCCAGCCTCGCCACCGTGACCATGGCCTCCGGCCGCACGCGCAAAACGCGCCAGGAGAGGCCGCGGCAGACGGCGGGGGCTGGGTCGTCGGCGCTCAGGGCTGGGCGCGGGAGCCGGACGGCCAGGGGGGCTGTCGGAATTGGAGCCCCGGGCCGCGGCGGCGGCGGCTGCGCGGCCCCAGGGCCCGGTGAGGGCCTGCACGCAGGTTCCGTGGCCGCGAGCGGCAGCCAGCTGCAGAGCTGTAAGGCCCGCACGGTTGGTGCGGTCGAGGCGCAAACCGAGGCGGCGGAAAGAGCGCACCAGAAACTCGAGCACCGCCCCGTGGCCGCATGCCGCCGCCCACATCACGGGACTGTTGCCTGCAGAGTCGGCCGCCTCGGGGTCGCCGCTGAACTGCACCAGCAGCTGCACGGCGTCCAGGTGGCCGCGCTCGCACGCCAGGCTGAGCGCCGTGCGGCCGCGCTCGTCCCGCAGGTTCACGGCCGCACCCTGCTCCAGCAGCAGCCGCACAAAGCGCGAGCGCAGCGCGGGGTCTGGCAGCCCCACGGCCACCATGAGCGGCGTGCGGCCCTGCTCCGCGCGGCAGTCGATGATGCTGCGGTCCAGGGCATCCAGCACGAAGCGGGCCAGGTGCACTTTGCCCGCCTGCATGGCCTCCAGGAAGGTGCGCGTACCCGCTCGGGGGCACAGGTCCTTGGGTTTGAGCATGGCCCCTGCGGCCGCGCTCAGACGGCCAGGCAGCTCCGCACGGGGGCGCCCCTGTTCCGGTGCCCCGCCAGGCTCTGGACCTCGCGGGTACACTGGCTTTACTCCCTCTGCGCGTGGGCGGCTGCGACCGAGGGTCCTGAGCTTCTCACGCTTGTCCGCCCCGCTGCTCCCGCCGCCCCGCCGCTCCTGGGCCGCCTGGTGTGTCTCTTCTCCTTCCCTGGGCTTCCCGCCTGCCTGGAGGTGTAGGTTGCTTGCTACTCCGCGCTCTGTCCCTGGCCCGCCACAAGGCGACCGGCGCCGAAGCTCGGTCCCCTCCTGACTCTCCCGCTGCTTTCCCGGTGTCCGGCGCCCCTCAGTCACTTGTGGCCTGAAGCCGCGCCACTCACCCGCACCCGGGGCAGCCCCCGTTCCCCTGCTGAGACGGTGGCACGGGGCGCCGCCGCTCCTCAAGCTGCTGGCGCCGTCCTCCGCCTCCTCCCCTCTTGCGGGGGCTGGGCCACACCAGGGCGCTTGCTCCTTACTTGGGGGGCTCCGCGGCGCAGGAGCAGCCGCCCGCTGGGATACCTGGCTTTATAGCCTCAGGGGTCTCCATGGCAATGGCTGTCCTGGAAGCAGGCTGAGCTGTCAAGGCAGAAACGTCCCCAGCGGGGGACACCGCCCCGGACCCCTACTCCTTCGTGGGTCTCGATGTCGGAGATCGGCTCCTGCTCCGCGCTCTCCTGGGGCTGAGGCGGCGGTTGCTGGGCGGGAGCTTCTTGCTGTGGGCCACATGCACCCGACCGGGCCAATCCCAAAGTCACTGTCTTCTCTCCCCGCCCTCCGCCCCCAGCGGAGTCGGTGCCCGAGGCTCCTTAGAAACTGGCGGGACCTCGGGTCCGTCGGGAAAGACCGAGGGCTGCTCCCAGCGGCCCGGGTGGAAGGAAATTGGACCCCATAGAGCAAGACTGGACCATAAGCAAGCTAAGGGTGGCGGGGGTACCTGCGCTGTGCTCGGGGGTCGGGGGCGCTCGATCTGGCTGGGAACTGCCACTCGAAGTGTAGCAAACCAGGCACTCACACACAATTGTTCCTCCTGCACAGGCTCACTCGGAGCGGGGGTGGAGGTAGAGCGTGCTCTCCCATCTCAGACGTCTCCAACCCCGACAACGCGCCCGCCTGCCAGCTCCGCGAGACTGAGAAGCAGGCAGAGCGGCGGCCAGAGCGCGGCGCCGTAGGATCCCGGAGCGCGCCAGCTGCGTTAGCAAATCCCAGGCTCCGCAGGCCTGGGGTGAGGGGGAGTCAGGGCGCCTCAGAGCCGAAGGGGGGTGGGTGGGTGTGTAGGGTTGGAATGGATATTTTGTAAAGTAAGAAGTAAATCAGGTATCAACTACAGACTTTACTGAGATTTTTCGTGAGCCAGGTATTGTGTTCCCAGCAGTGGGAAATACAGAAGCAGAAGCACAGTTCTGGATGGAAAAGGCCTCTCTTCTCAAGCAGCAGATTAAAGGCCAGGACGGAAAAAATGGAGGCTATCACCTGAGAGCTGAATACATCTGTTCAATACAAACCGAGACAGTTCTTAGAGGAACAGGTGGAGTTGTGGGGAGGGGAGGGCTCTGGGGTCTTCTAAGAATAGGGCTTCTGAGGTGGTCTTCAAGGGATGTGAGGGATGGGGCCTGGCTGCTAAGAAACAAGGAAGACATTTCAGATGGGGTTACTGGTGCAAGGGCATGGAGGCAGGAAAAGCACCTTTAAGGGACAGTGTTGAGGACTGCTTTAAGGGGTCCCTTCCTATGAAAGACAGGGAATTAAGGGAAGAATAAAAATGGCCTCACTGACAAGAAGCACTGCCGCAGGAGCGGCCCCGGGAAAGGTATGGGGTGAAGAGAGGATTTACCTCTGGGAGGAAGTCCATGGGTGAGTGTAAAGTGGGCACATGGCTCTGCACCTTGAACTTTTTGCCTCCCTCCAGCTCCCAGGCTCCAGAGATATCCACCTAGCATGGGGCCCAGCCATACATAGAGCAGGCACTCCCACACCCCTCTGTCCTGGGGGAGCATGGGATGTATACCTGCGCACACTGCAAAGCCCCTCTTTTTATCTTCTTGCATTTTTTAATCCCTCTGGGGGATTTTCTCTCATGGTGTCACGGAAATGGCACAGTATTTGACATCAGAGTTAAGTCCCAGCTTGAAGGCATTTACTAGCAGTGTGGCTTCAGGCCTGCATATTCCCACCCACAAAATGACACTGATTCGCATAACACTACCCCAACTGCTTCATGCAAGATTGCTCTAGAGCAGCGGTTCTCAACCTTCCTAATGCCGGGACCCCTTAATACAGTTCCTCATGTTGTGGTGACCCCCAACCATAAAATTATTTTCATTGCTACTCTATAACTGTAATTTTGCTACTGTTGTGAATCGTAATGTAAATATCTTTTTGTTTTCCAATGGTCTTAGGCGACCCCTGTGAAAGGGTTGTTCGACCCCCAAAGGGGTCACGACCCACAGGTTGAGAACCGCTGCTCTAGAGAGTGCTGGGGGAGGGGGGGAGGAGAGAAGAGGTGCACAGTTATTCAGCACCCAGACCTGAAGGCCCCTCCTGGGTGTCACCCAGGAGTGGGTATAGACTCTCACCCCCGTGAGGACAAAGGAATGTTCTCCCTCTTTACTCAGATAGTGGAAGGAAGGCGCTTCTTCCCTTCATGACTCAATTTCCCTTTTCTCTAGCCTGAGAGAAATTGCTTCTTCCCTTCTTTCTGTTTTCAGGGTCAGGGAAGAGGGTACCCCTAGAATCTGTGTGTGGCAGGCTATCATACAACCAGGCAGTGACACCCCCCATGTGGAGGAGAGAAGCAGCAAGAACATGGAGTGGGCACCCCATTGGTTCTAAAAAGTCATGCCTCCTCCCCGCTGAGCCTCCCTAAGACAACACTGCCTTATTTATGTCCCCGTTCCCTGTGGAGGATGGATGCAGTTCCAGGGAAGAGATGCTGGGGCAGGTCCCCTTCAGGGCCTCACCCTGGCTTGTCAGAGAGCCCCATGCTAGGTGCTGTTTGGAAGAAGTAGCTGGCTCCATTTGCCCCAGCTGGCCTCACTGATCCAGCCAGGCCTGTGGCGGGAGGGTGGCGCGGGGTGCCAGGTCTCAGGCGCTGGAGCCTTCGCTCTGATTCCCCTGAGGGCTCAGTATGTTCTGAACAGAAAAGAAATAGCAGAGGTGAAAAAAAGCTGAGACTTTGCTGCAGAACAGAGGCACCAACAGCCGGAATTAGAAGCTGTCGCTTAGGAAGCTGAAGGCTGACAGGAGATAGAGGCAAGCAGGAGGCAGGCAGGCACTCCACTTTCCCTCCCCTCCCACCCGCTGAGCCTCTCCCCCTGCAGTCCTCAGGCTGGCAAAAGGGCTTCCTCCCAGAGACTGCTCAGGTCTGCAGTCTGTCACAGTCTGCAGCTGCTCCCCCCACCCCCAACCCCACAGGCCCCCTTCTTTCCTCCTTAAGTGTCACCAACCCCCTCACCCTGTCACGTTGCACCTCAGCTCAGCAGGGTTGGGCCTGGTGGCACGTGGCTGGGAGATCCAGAGAGCTTGGGGTGGGGGGTGCAGTGGGGAGGTGCAGGGGATGGGGTGAGTCAGCAGGGGACTCTGGCATCTGAATCAGCAGTGGGATTGGGAAGGGGGTAGGGACCCTTCCCTTTATGCAAAAGGTGAAACTGAGGCATGACCAGTGGATAGGGAACCTTGCCCCAGCCCCATAGATACGCAGCAGGAATGGAACTCCCAAGCCAATGCCCTTCACCTGCCCAGTGCCCTAAGGGAAGGCAACTCTTACTCTGCACATCCCCTGAAGCCAGGGATTAATTCATCTCCAAGGCCCAGAGACTATGGCATTTTCCCAGGGGCACCCTGCCCTTTTCTCAGAGGACAGAAAACAGGGAGGTGGGTACCTGGGCCTGGCCTCATGGGAAGTCCCAAGCTTGCTATTCAGAGGCCTCTCTAGGAGACAGGATTGCATCTGCTTCCCCATTCCTGGGCTTTCCAGCTCCACACTAGGGGCCCAGAGACAATGCCTGGCCGGCTGAGAGGTGAGGGAGAGATAGCCTCTCCTTTGCCTGAGCAGTCATTAGCAAAAGTTGGGGGCTGCCCAGTGGGCTCTATTTGGCACTGGCTCTGGCTTATGCCCCTGTGCCTGGGCCAGTGACTTCCTCTAGGTTTGGGTCCCCATCCCTGCATAGTTCTTACGCCTGGACTAGGGGGCAGATGGGGCAGCTCAGTGCCCAGCTGGAGGGTGCGGATAGAGCACTGCCCTTGGTTGTATCCAGGGTGTATGCATGCTGATATATGACAGGCCTTACTCCTGTGAATGAGCAGGCCCCTAAACTTACCCTGCAGCCAGGGACTGCTAGGATCCCAGACATCGGGCCCCCAGAGGGATGGGGGAGTCCTGTTTATTTTCCGAAGGCACAGGTGGTCATAGTTAATAGCATTTGCTATAACTCTCTGATAAGAAAACAACCTCTTCCCAGAATCAACCCCCACCCTGCCTTTCCCAAGCCAGTGTCTGTCCCCATTTGGGATTTGGGACTGTGCCATAGGTCCAGTGAATGGCTTCCCACAAGCCCCTCTACAGTGTTGGGGTCAAACATAACTGCCACAGAGGCGCGAGAACCTGACCACTCTAAGTTTGCCTAAAGGGATGCAGGTAGCCTGAAGGTTTGCAACTCCCCAAGAGGGTGGGGGACACCTTTGCACTAGGCTCTTCTGCTCTAGCCCTGAGGGTAGAAACAAGGAAGGGCCACATCTGGGTGGGGGTGGAGAACAGGGGTGACATCATTTTCCAGTGGTTGTGGCATCAGGGCCGGCAGAAAGGGAAGTGAATCCCCTCCAAGTCTGGAGGCAGGGCTATTCTGCTGGGCTCTAGAGGACACATCACCCTGGGGTTCAGCTCCCGACAATTTTCCTTCAGCCCACTTCATTTTGGGGCAGTCTACTCCCCTGCCCCCCATTTTTTAACTGTAGAACAGAGGCCAGGCTTAGGCAGGAAATATTGGGACAAGGTCCTTTAGTAAGAGTAAGAAGGAAAAAAATAAATAAACCTCATAAAGTCAGGGGAGATAACGATGCTGACTGTTGTCAGGCAGCCTGGTTGGGGATACATTCTAGGAAGTACCTCCCCCCAGGCCTAGGAAAACAGGTGAGCCAGGCTCCGGGTGGGAGAGCGCCCAAAAGGCTGTCCTCCCCTCACCACCAGCCCCAGCCCCAGATGTCTCAGCGGCCTGAGGGCCAGGCAGCTTAGGCAGCTTTTCCATGTCAGCCTCCCAGCCCCCATAGGCAGGAAGCCAGGGAAGAGACCTCAGCCCGAAATCGTAGGGGCAACCTGTCCAGACCTCAGGATGCTTGGAGGTCGTGCCAGGCTCTATATCAGGAAGCTGACAACAAGGCCATCTCAGGGCAGGCTCAAGATGGGGCCTAGAAGCCTGGGTGAGCTGCCTGCCTTATGGCAAGAGGGTTTGGAATTTGGTCCTGCTTAATCTACAGGTGCTAGGGTGGAGGTTTCAGGTGGCCAGGCCTAACCCTCCAGGTGAGGAAACTGAGTCCAGAGTAGGGCACCACCGGTTGCATATTAAGAAAGGCAGAGCAGGGCCAGGACCCCATTTCCTGCCTCCCAATCCATATTCTTTTGCCCTCAACAAATATATGACTTATTCAAGGTGGGAGAGAAGGATGAGGAGCAGGAAATCAGCTTGGAGACGACCTCTATGCCCCTGATGGTCCCCTGCCTTGATGGTATCTGGTCCCTGCCTCCTACTCTGGCCTGGTTATTGAGGAGGGGGCTCTAGGCTCCAAGGAAGCCCCAGCTTCCCAAAGCCTCAGGGTGCTGGGGCTGCTGGGGCCTTTCCTCTTAGGTGGATGGAGTCTTGTTGCAGAGAAGGGCGAACCTCTTTGCAGAATGTCTCAGTTGGCTGGGGGTATCAGAGATGGCTCTCCTGGGTGTCTGTCTTTGCTGTAAGTGGGTCCAGCTCACACAGCTCCCCAGAGGCCTCACAGGTCCTCTCAGGCTTGTCCTCTGCCTCAGAAGGGAAGCAGGCCCTGAGGCAGGTCCTCACCGACTCTTTCACCTCCGCCTCCAGGCCCTTCATCCTGACCTCGTACTCTGTCAGTGCCTCCTGCTGGAACTGTGGGGACAGCAAGGACCACCGCCTGGCTCAGGAGGGGCCACCTGCCCACTCTCCCTCCCGTGCACAGTGGAACAAGGACATGCCTGGTTTTTTCAGAGCTCCTCGGAGATGGGAATGGGAGGTGGGGCATAGCGGAGCCCATCAGGGAGCCTCTCACGAGAGAGGGTGCCAACCAAGCAAAGAGAGCTGCAGAGCTGCCTCATTTGAAAGGGCCCCAGGGCCCCGTGGGAACTAGAGCCTATAACCCACTGGTGAGGGCTGTCTCCCCTCCCCTGAGCTCCTTACTGGCAGCTCCCTGGAACAGGGCTCCCTTTACACCCAGGAGCCAGGCTAACTGCTGGGGTCCGGGGTGGTGGTCCCTGTCACCTGCTTTTCCATCTCCCGGATCTGTTCCAGGCAAGCTGCCTGCTTCTCCTCCAGCTTCTCCTGATGTCTCTCCAGGCTCTCTGTCATCTGGGTGGGAGTGAGAGGCAGAGAATCAGGATAGCACAATCTGGGGCGGCATCCAGCTACAATCCCAGCTAACCAGCTGTGAGACTTTGGACAAATTCCTTAACCTTTAAACAGTTGGGTTTTTTTTTTTAATTTGTAAAATGAGGATAATAGTATCTGTCTCACTGGATTGTGAAGGATTATAAGAGACAGTTCACGTGAAGCACCTGGCTTAGTGTCTGGGACAAGGTCAGGACTCAGTAGCTGGTAGTTCTGTACTGTTGCAAATAATCCCCAGGTGAGCTTTAGGTCCATTCTCAGCAGGACTTTCCTTCCTCTTCCAACTCCTTGGAGCCTCAGGAAGCCCCCTCACTCCTTCTCACCCACCCACTCCAATTCTTTCCTCCCCTAGCCAGCTAGTCCATATCATTCTACCCAGGACAGCTGACCAGAGACAGATTCCTTTAGGCTGGTACCCTAACCTCCACAGAAAGGTCAGAACCTCAGGCTGGCCTAGGGGCTCCCCTTCTCCGGCACTGCCTCCTCCCACCCCTAGCCGCACGGGCTGCTCTCGACAGTGTATTTCCTAACATCAGGGTAAAGGCCAGGGCCAACCTTTCACTCCTATGGAGAGTACATGCTCGCGTGTGTGTGTGTGTGTGTGTGTGTGTGTGTGTGTGTGTGTGTGTGTGTGTGTGTGTGTGTTTGGGAAGGACACACCTGTTTGATGACCTGCACCACCTCCTGGATGTGGGGGAGTTGTTAATCTCTCTCTTCAACCTGTTGAGGTGATCAGAGTTTCAGAGAGGGCAGGAGGCCCCTGGGAAGAGTTGGGTGAGGCAAAGATTCCTCAGGGTGTAGGCAAACTGAGAAATACGCTCAAGAAGCAGGAACCAGGCAGAGGGGTGAGCATGGAGAACCAAGGAGGATCTGAGGGGCTATTGGAAGCCCAGGGGAGCCCTGTGATGGGAGGGTTTCCTTACTAACTCTGCACTGTGCTTCAAGGCATGCATGGGGAAACACAGGTGGGAAGCTACTGTCCCAAGGTTTCACCTCCCTCTTTGCACGCTTGATTTTCCCTTAAATTCTCCTCTCTGCTCAAATAGTGTTGGCATCTGTGTTTTGCCTAAGTAGGACCCTCTGATCAGAGGTGAAAGAAGTCAGATTAACTTTCAAGAGCCAGGGGACAGGCACATCTCTGGGAATCAAGTCAGGATCCACTTGTAGGTAGGCCTCTTCCCACCTGGAGTGGTTTCTGCTCGGCACTGGGCCTGGAGTCTGAGTCCTGGGCCTCTCCTCCAGGACTCACCTCTCTTGGGCCATTTTGTCCGTGGTGACCTTGATCATGGCCTGGATCCGCTCCAACCTCTTGGCCTCCAGCTTTTTCTTCATTTCTTTAGTGTCACTGCAGAGAGACAGTCATCAGGAAGATGTTTTGTAGGACCTGAGCCCTCATGGGAGATGAGAGTCAGAAGTGGGAGGGAGGCAGCCATACGTCTCTGAAGTCTCCTTGAGGGTCTTAAGCTCTGCAGCCTGTTTCTCTCTGGCCAGCTCCATCATCTTGGCGATTTGCTGAGGGGAGAGTAAGGATGGGTTTAGGGGATGGGCTTAGCGTGAAGCCCTTTGTTATGCGCAGGGTGTGGGGTTGTTTGTCAGCCCCTCCCCTGCCCCACCCTGGCACCTCGGCCAAGTGCTGCTCCTTGCGCTTCAGGAGGCACTCATACTGCTCCTCGCCCTGCTGCAACAGCTCCAGTTCCAGCTTGTCCCTCAGCTCGCGCACGCGTGTGTCCGCGCCCTCGGGACCCTCTTCTGGCGTGGCCCTGGCGGTCTCCTCACAGGGCAGGGTCCTGCGGAGGCCACGTGGGGACAGGCCCTGAGCCCTCCGATGACCACGTCCGAACCGCAGACAGCAGGATGTTGCCGCCACCCCTTACCTTTTCTTGCGGGAGCCCTTGCCGGGGCCTAGCTTGCGGCCCCCGGGGCAGCCCCCGGTGCCCGATGGCCCAAGCATGGCCAGCTGTGCCGCGCCCCGCTGCAGCAGCTCCTCCCAGCGCCGCGCGCCGCGCCGCTCCAGCTCTCGCAGCTCCTTCTCGTGCCGCCGCTGCAGCTTCACGACGCCTTTCAGCTCCCGCAGCTCCTCCAGGCTGGTGGTCCGCGGCTCTGCGGGGACCCGGGTGAGGCGCCCCGCTGCCCAGGAGCCCGCCACGGGTCCCGGACCCTCCCCAGGCTCGTCCCCAAGACCGCTGAGACTCAGCAGGCCTTACCCTCAGCTTTTTTCGTGGCCTCCTCCCTGGTCCTGGCCCCAACTGCTGCAAGAGCCACAGGACTGGCTGACAAATGCCCTGGGGTCCCCCGGCTCAGCTTTGTTCCTCCCTGCCCGCTGGGGGTGGCAGCATGGACCCCCTGTAGTGCATTTTCTCAGCCCCGGAGGCTTCAGACACAGTGTTCCCTCCCCAGGTTAAAGGCTTATTTTTTTTTTTAGATCTGCTGCCAGGGTGGAATGTGCCTGTGGGTGCAGCCAGAGACGTCTAGACCCTTTCAGTAGGTAGGAGGACCCTGCGTGCATACCTGCTGACCCGTTGCTGATTGGGGCAGTTGTCCCATTGACTGGGCTAGCAACTGGACTCTCAGGAGGGAAGGGCTTCTGTGTAGGGAAAGCGAGTTAGGAAGATGGCTCCAATGGCCCTCCCTCCCTGAGTCTGGGGCTCTGCCCCCTCCCTCATCTTCCCACAGAGAGGGCAAAGTTCCTGGGGGGGCCCTGACAGTGGACCCAGCAACACAGACCTCAGGCAGGCTTCCCATGGCTTCCTTGAGCTTCACAGACTTCTTATCATGGGCGTTGAAGAACTTGATGGGATTGGCGAGGGCCACGGTAAGATCTGCGTGCACAGGGGCATCATGGGTCTGGTATGGAGACATACCTGGAAGCCTCCCCATCCTCACCTATCCTAGGATACCCTGTCTTGCCCCACTCTAGAAGCTGGCTTGAGAAGGGGGAAGGAAAATGGACAGCCCGGGCTCCCAGCATTCCACAGGTCTCTTACCTGCCCAGGTGTCAGGTACATAGTCCTTCATTTCCAGGAGGACCAAGAGCGAAGGCATGGTGAGGGGCATGTTGCTCTCACTGTGCAGGCACAGATGGTGGTATCCTGTTGGGTATGACGGGGTGGGCAATGAGCAGAGCCCACTGCCACCCAGCACTGCATGTGATCAGCCCAGTACTCAAGGCTTTTTGGCTTTAGAGTCAGAGAGGCCAGGGTCCAAGTCTGGCTGTGTGACTTTGGGCAGGTTGTTTTAAATCTCTGAGACTTGCCTGATCTGTGAAATAGGGAGAATAGTTTCAACCTCATGTGGTTATTGTTAAGATTAAGTGAGAACGTGTTATAAGCCTTTAAAACATTTTAAGTGCCCAATACGTGTCAGCTACTTAGGAAACTGCCCAGCGGTTCCAGGAAATTACAGACATTCTGTTAGGTGGGCAGAGTTCCCACCTCTGTCAGTTTCCTGGAGAGGTACTCTTCCTGCCCCACTCCTTAAGGCTGATAACATGGGAGGGTTAGGTAAGGTCTCAGGACCATCTCCCTGAAGCTGCCCCATCCTCCAGACAGGCTCCTGATGGTGGCCTTGGTCTCAGACCTGCTGAGAACAGCAAAGAAGGACCCATAACCTTACCGCAATTCAGGGCACTGATGGGGATGATGCGCTGTCCAAGAAATTTGTTGCCTTCCTCCATCACAGCCACCCTGAGAGAGGCCAGCTCAGGCATCAAGATCTGGGGAGAGTTCAGGATAGGACAAGCTGGGGGGGGGTGACCAAGTTGCTCCCCTCCCTGGTTCCAGAAGTCTAGGGTCACTGTGAGAACATGGCATGTATGACCAGATTTGGTGAGGAAAAGAGGGCACGCTCTAGGAGACACATATAGATATCCTCTCAGCTCATGCCATGGCCAGCCCATACAGAGCAGAAGGGCTGGATATGCAGCCCAGGGCTCTGGAGGT